CCTAAACATGTTTTACAAAATTAGAGGGTGGGAGGTAAAGAGCTGTTGCCCCAGTGGATCTACTGGAATCAATACTAATTCCTACCTCCTGGCTGCTATAAATGCCCTCCCATAGTGAAAAGTGTCCTCTCCAGCAGTGCTCCTGGAAAGCAGTCATTTCTCTCCTACCTGTAATCTGCCTTCTCTGTGTAGTCTATGAGCCTTTTGAAGAAAGGGTGTCTGTACAGCACCTAGCACAGTCAGATCCCTCTGTTGGCTTGAATTTCTTTATGCTATAGGAATACTGATCCCTCCCAAACAATAGAGACAGGCACTCCACAGAGCAGACACACAAACAGACTTTCATTAGAGAATGTAGTGCTGAAAGCCTGTTTTACAAAAGGCTTTGCTGATTGGATTCAGTCATATGAACAATGATGGATATGGGGCATATTCCACAAGAGCCTAGAAAGAAAGGTGCAGCAATATCAGCAGTAGGTGCAGACACTGCACAATTCTGTAATACTAATAGGCTTAAGCACGTAACCAGCTATAACCTGAATATTTAATATCTACTGTGTAAATAGTTGGCTTTTTATGTCTTTTTTTTTTAAAAAAGGGGGGGGGGGAGGGGCAGGAAAACATGCCCAGAAATGCTGAGAACTGTGTATTTTTAAAAATCAGACTCCTATTTGGGTGGACATCCCCCATTCCCTCCAGCTTTGCAGTTTGCCAACATTTCTGCTGTTAATTACTGAAATTTCAGGTGCATTGTGAAATGCCCTTTCCATTTGCAGATTTTCACAACGACATCTCAGGCAATGAGGGTGTTTGGGAGAGCCCTGGGGTATAAAGCTAAATTTTCCAATTCATATGCACTGTGGTTTGAGACAAATATACAAGCAGAGGCATTCAATTTACATAAACGCTTGTGGCACATGGTTTAGACTTCTGTGCTAAAAAGGAAAGGTTATTATAATCTGTAGGTTTCCTTGCTTACAGGTTTACCAGTGAAGACCAAAATTTTCATAATCAATAGCCTCTATTTTTGTTTATTAGTTACTATCACAGACAAGCGCTTCTGTTGATTAAGGGCAATGAAATCAAATCTATTGCCAAGGCAGTGAATAACATGATTAATAAAAGTCTACAGAGATAATTTGCAGCTTTTCAATAGGCCCTGTGTGAAAGCTAGTGGTATTGCTCCAGAAACATTTAAAGGACCAGTTCACAGCCCAAAAATATACCTCATAATGCATTAAAGACAGGGCAAGGCTGTTCTCAGAACCTGTTCACCATTCACAGCTGTAAGTTATTTTGCCTTTATTGGGGGTCACCTTTGCCAAACTCTCAGCCTCTCTGAAGGGGACAGCCCATACATATGTGACTTTTTTGCCAGAAGCCCTAGCTACCATTGTGGCAGGTGGAGAAGCTGGGCATGATGGAGCTGAGACCTCCCTCACAGAACAGAGGGAGCACCCGGGTCTGATCCCCTGAGGAGGGCAGGGCTTGCACTTGGGCTTCTGCTGAACTACAGTTGGCAATGCAGATGGGAAGCACACAGCTCACAAGGCTTGCCTTGCTTCACCCTGTCCCTGACCTTCTTCCTCTCTCGGCAGCTGACGCATGGCCTGAGGTTCAGTCTTGCCTCCTGGTTTCATTTTGGGCCAGTTCTTCTCCATAGCATGGACTGCACTGTTTCCCTACCCACCCAGAGGAAAGACCTTATCTGCTGGAAGGTAATGAGGCAGAGAAGCCACCACAAACTGCTCTCCTTAACCACTAATTCCTTTGACAGCTGGCATTTGGAGTATAAGAGGCCTCAAATAAAAAATTCCCAGCATGCAGTGTACAGATTAAATCCTGTAAGGTGCAGAGCACCTTCTCCAAGGGGATGAACAACTTTGACCCCCAAAGATGGCTTTGCACAGATCACTGCCTCCCCAGACTGAACCTTCGACCTGTGACGTTTATTTGCGTGAGTCCTTCACCTCATTTGAGATGTCCCATTGCCTCGGAACTGGTCACCACAGTCTGAAAGTAAGAGGGCAAAAGCTGCAGTGTGGGCAGAGATTGCCAAACCTGTGGAATTCCTCAGATTTTGTAGTAAGTCAGGCAGCTATAGCCTGTACATCTGAGCAGAGGTAGGGGGAAGCAAATAAATACATTTAAAAATGATGCATTTAAAAATCAGGAAGCTGACATTCCTCCTGTCTGGCTAGATCCCTTTTATATTAGAAGAAGAAGAAGAAGGAAAAAAAAAAAAAAAAAGAAACTGGAGTTATATTCACAGCACAATATTGTGTTGAATCCTAGTCCAACTCAATTTTTTGCTTTGGTAGGACACTTCTTACTTAGGTATTCTATTTTATTCCAGCCACACCCAAATGTCCATTAACCAATGAACAATGGAGTACACACACAGCGTAACATCAGCAGGCTGAATTATTGTCTCCCTTGCCTCTCTGATGAGTATGCTGAGACCACTCAGAGTGGTGGCATACCTGAGCCGGGCATCGGAAGCACCTGAGTTAAGATGGTGTGGCATCCCCGTATAGAGGCAGAATATATTTACAGAGTTCCCAGAGTTGAATATTTTAAATCTGAAACAGAAGTCTGCTCCTACCTGGATTACCAGGATCATAATATATTTATAGAATTAATAAAAATTGCTTATCAGCTGCAAGTGAATACAAGGAGATAAGCAAAGGGCATGAACAATTAGGTAACTTAACACTGTTCCATTTACATCAGTAGGCAGCTCCTCTGTGGCCTGACCTATAGGTATTCAGCAAAGAATTAATATGTTCAGCATAGGCAAAGATTTTGATGATTCTTTATTCATTTTCACACCCATTTCAAAGATTTTCACTATGGTTAGGAAGCAAATTTGTTTTCCCAATTACTCTGCCTCTCTGGCAAACATCTGTCCATGCTGTGCAGTGCCTGTCAATACACTGATATTTCAATATCTGTTTCTTGCAAAAATTGCTGGAATTCTGCTAAGAAATAAGACTCTTTCTCCAAGACCTACCCCCAAAACCTCCACCATTCTAAAAACAATGCACCGAACTTGCACTATATGGGAATATAGTACCATCTATCAGACTTCCCTCTAATTTAATATTGTTCTTAATCTGTAAATTTGATCCATGTAATTTTTTTAAAAAAAAAAACAAACAAGCAAACAAAACCCCACAAAACACCAAGGAGAAACAGACTGAAACAAAATACAGGAACATCCTGTCTGAATCAGTATGGGAAATTATAAAGGCTAATAAAGAATAGATAGTCACTATTTTTCGGTCAGAATACTTTCTCTAGCTAGATTGCAAGCCATTTATTTTCACTGGCAATCATATGATCTCAAAATGATTCAAGCTGAGAACTCCTGCCTAGATTTTTGAAAAAACAAGAGAACCTGATGCATCAGCCTTTTTTCATTATGAACAGACAAAAGGCTTGACAGGGTACTAACTCCTCATTCAGATCCACCCTGAGGCCTTCTGTGGGGTCCTCTGACAACCTGGGTCTGTCAGAGGAATGATTCGTAAGGTAGTCAGGACTGTCGAGCTGGTCCTGGACTTGTCAGCTGTCCAAGCTTGTCACTAAAGACACCAGATTGGGTCTGGACCCTTGTTGATATTGCACAATGAGAGAAATGCACCTCAGTGAGTCACGATCACCCTCCTACACACACTTGGAGAGCACCAATAGCAGTAACTTACTCAAGCTTTTCCAAATCCAAACTCAGAATCCTGAATTAGCCTGCATGTTTCTTTCCTATCAATAATAGAAAACAAACTGTAATAGAAACAATAGGAAACAAGATTTAATATTCTACACTGCTGAAAAAAATAGAGTAAAATTTAATACAAAGCTAGCATCTAATCTTTCTTGTTGGTTAGAACTTGCAAAAATGACTAAAGAGTAAATAGAAATTACTGTTTCGGACTCCAGAGATGCTGTTCACTGTATCATTTCTGCTGGATCAGCCTGGCTCATTCAGACCTTGGGAAACATTGCCAGTGTCAACATCCATACAGACCAAATATTCTTACAGCAATCTCTGGATCAAACCCTGAATTGCAGGCAGTTCCCAGCAATGCTGCCTGTACTTTCTGCCTTCATTACTGATACCATGGTATGAGAAACAATTCTGTTACTGGCAGAAAATATTTATTAAAAAATTATTTATTAAAAATAATACAAAATTGCTGTCTTGAATTAAAGCAGGAAAGATTATGCTACAGCTCTAAAGGCAATAGAGACCTGCTAATGCAGTGCTGAAAACTCAGAGTTTATCAAATCAGAATCCACCTCCTTCCACTTTCTTTTTACTACTGTCCCAAAATGAATGCTACCATGCTGCAGCTAAGCCTCTGGGCTCTCTTGGCTGTTCAGGCCAAATTTTATCTTTTCAAATTTACTGAAATATACAGAGTCATACCAGCAGACGACTTGCCCTCCTGTACCCTTTCTTGTTGAGAAACTACTTTGCTCGTCCTTAAACCCACGTTTCTAAATTTCCAGGAGCAGAAACATGTTGTGGCTTTAAATATAGACTGTCAGTTTGTGGCTTGTGTCTCCTATTACACACAGACAGCTTGAAACTCTAAACACAAGTTGGGCAGCACCATTAATATCTTAGAAAAGAGTCAGTACGCTTTTGAAATGCTCTATATTTTCATTCCTGAAGGAGGGGGGAGGGAAAAACATTCAAATGAAAGTTTTCTAAGCCAGAGTTTAGGCGGAAACGTTACTAACTTCGCTCCGTTCAATTCAGGAGCTGGAGTTTGCAGAGCCTGTTTCAGTTCTTCACACACAAGCGTGCACACAAACACAAAGAATAAAAACAGAAAACAATTTCATCAGAACTTTTTTGCTTTAGGATTAGTCTCAGGCATTCTTTTTTTTTTTTTTTTTCTTTACATATCAAACACATTAGACAATCTTTTCCTTAACCGGCAGACTGTTAAATCCACTCTTATTGTAAGGAGGGGGGGGATAAGGGTACTCACGTGGTTGAGATGTCGCATTGTTTTGGTAACTCATAATTTACGCCTTTGAAAAATGCCTTATTTGTGTTGACAGTCTCTCTTCCCTGCTCAGAACGGACGGCGGGATTGAACAGAACAGCTGGAAGAGCCCAGGAAAATGCTCCTCTTGTTCGGGCTCTCCTTGCCTGGCTCCTGACCCCTTTACAACTGGAAAAGGAAACAGCACATGTGTCATTCTCTTTTGCCTGTGTAGCTCACATGAGCTGGGAGGGGCACCCATTTGCAGATAGCAGTAACTGTATTCAAGTTTTGCAAGTTGGATGTATTCCACCCCTTTGCTTTTATTAGCCAGAAACCAGTGGAAAGAAAACACTCTTTTCATTCTTAGCCAAATGTAGATGCACCTATTAGATTCGCTTCCCAAACTCCTACCCACCACCGTTGATATTATTTAAGTGCAAAACTTGCTGCTGACTCCCTTCCCAAAATGCCTATCATCAGTGGGTGAGATCAAAAGTACAGCTTTCAATTTTCATTGCCCAGCAGCACCCTTAACACTCACAGTCTAACTGATTCTGTCCTTTTAACGGGTGAAAATTGAGAATGACATTTACTGGGTCAGAGTAGTTACATCAGCATATACCATGAATCTACACTGTGCACAGAACAAGCAGCAACCTGTGGCTGCGACACAGGATGAGGCACAGGTAAGTCCAGTCCTGGCTCTGACACAGGTTTCTTATGGCATCTTGGTCAAAGCACTTAGTCTCTGCCTCAATTTGTTGTTTGTAGAATAAAGATGATACAACTGATTTCCGCACAGTCTTGGTATTTTTATTTTAATTTGCAGGCAGGCATTGTTTATAAATAGGATATATTTATTGGTCTACATGGCTTAATTTACCCATTCTCTGCAGCAAGTTTTCCAGCCTGGACTAGGCTACCAGCTTCCTCATTTGTATTGCTATCATTTAAAGCTATCTGTTTGGCTATCTGCATGCTGCACTGCAGTGAGCTGTATGCAGTTGTTTTAAGTGTGCATACACAGTCAGCGTGTGGTTGACACACGCTAGGACTTCTAGGTCATACCAAAATCCAAATAATTTATAACATGTATGTCTTAGGCACTAAGAAGAGGGGACAAAGTTTTCATTTTCCTGGTCTTTGTGAGTCAGGATTAATTAACCGCCTGCCTGTGGCAGCAAAAACACAGTAACCATCGGAATGGAAGTGGAAAAAAACAAGAGTCATGAAATTCAGGCTGAGACTCATCCTGTTTTGCAAAACTGTTGCAGGATATCTTTGTGAAATTATCTCAGTGACCTCCTACAAGAAATCAATGCTGTGAATCTGGTTCACACTATTTATTTAACAGCTATAGGATGGAAAGAACAGTAACTTATTTACATACCAACGACAAATAACAGCTTGTTTGTGAGCATGGATACAGTAAATTACTTCGGTCAGCGTTTTCCACACTCTGGGCTTGTGGTAGAGAGCCCTGGAACATTTAGTGATAGACAGAGCAAAGCAAGGCACAAAACAAAGAGGGAAAAATAATAGCAAAAACTCCTGACGTTGCTCTGCTGGTTTCAACTCTATAGCACAGCATTGATTTACACCAGATAGCTTCTCAATGAAAATACTGATGGGCATGTTATCTATTACTTCTTCTTCTATATTTGAAGCACAATGTGCACAGGTAAAATTGAGGCTTTCTGTCCTGGGGCATGGCAATTGTTGCCATGCAAAGTTATTACATTTAAATCTTTCAACATCTAGACCTCTGAGAAATTTCAGAACGGCTCTCAAGAAAAGACTTCTCAGCCACTGTAGCTGAACTGAAGGATAGTTGGTACTGATGCCTTCATCGTGCTAGTGCCAGTGGTCTAGATCCTTCCCAGAAGTTTTGTGGGAGCCTACTTAAAATGGTCTAGCCCAAGTGGGCTATCCTAACCTGATCCTCCATTGCTCCTAGTGCTTGACCCCTTTGCATCTATGCAACACTTCCTGCATCTGTCTTCTTTGTTCTCTCCTACCACCAAAATCGCCGTGAGATTTATACCCAAGTTTACAGAACCAAACCCACATGGTAAATACCCCTTTACCACCTTGATATCTTCACTTTTCTTAAGACTTCTTTCTTTGCTTATTGAAAAGACTGGGATTCCCAGGAAATCAGAGAGCCTGGGACTCATTTCCCAAGCCTGTTGCTTACCCTCAAGCAGGCCATTAAAGAGATCCTTCCTGACCTTTCCCATTCATCATTAATGGGAAATATGTGAGGTTGAAAAGGGAGGTGAGCACATCTCCACACAGCCCAGCACACTTCTGGGGTAGCCTGAGGATGCATCACAAAACAAAGAGGAGCCCGGTGCTCTCTGCCTGCCCTGACGCTCATCTGGCCACCCCTGGGGGACAGGAGGCACCAAAGGAACCCAGAGGAAAAGACGAGAATTGGGGGTAGGTGGGGAAAATACATGATTAATTGTTAATTTCCAGCTTGTCTGAACTACTCTCTCCTAAACTTTAAATACAGTGTTTGCTTCTGGCAAAAAAGCCCCCTAAAAAGTCAAAAGAGTGAAGATAACACAGGGGTAGCAGAAAGCATTTTTTGTCTAAGGACTGCGGCATTCATACAGGATTCACCAGATCTGTGGGATAACGCAGGTATACTGGCAAGTGTGGGTGTCAGCCATGTGGCTTTCAATAGCCATTTACTTGATCTTGGGGCCACCATGTTCCCATTAACCTACAGAAGAAATATTGGTTTCCTGCCCTGGTGAACACTTTTGTTTCTCCAGTCTTTGAAAGCTCAGAGTGTTTTTCTGAGCAAGGATACCAAAATTCCCTTTTTGTCTCAGTAGTGCTTTCAGATATGACAGTCCTTTCAGTTCCAAGGGTGTTAGCTCACAAGTGGGACCTCTTTTTCCTCTGATACTGCAACATATCCTTCTCCTCTTAAGCACTGCTATGTAATGAATTCACAGTCAGGCCCACATGGTTGTTCTCTTTTGTACTATCTTGCTCCAAGATAAATGATATTTGACAGTCGTTCAGGCTTGGCAAGCTGATGCTGATTGCTTCAGTTGTTGTTCCCAACAGGAAGGGAGGGTTTAGGCTGCATTTGAAGGAAAATAAATAAATAAGCCAAAGGAAAAAGTCTCTCTTCAGAAAGTTATGCCTGAAAACAATAGGACATCAGACTAGATATCCCTGTCTTTACTGGATTTTAATGACAAAACATAATGCAAAATCTGTAATCTTAGCCTGTAAAAACTGTAGCAAGATTGAAAGAGGCTGAGTGGAAAGATCTCAGTAATATCCTTTGTTGTCCACCCTGTGCAGCCTCCCAGCCTCAAAAAGGAGGAAGAAGAGGTTGTTGGAGCTGTAGAAGAGGTTCTTGTCTGGCTGTAAGTTCAAGATGGGTCTCATGCCTGTACTGACGGCCACATTTGTGTCCCTGTCCCACCAGGCCGCATGCCGTGATCACCTGGCCAGCTGGTGTGAGAGATGATGTTGGCTTTCTCCTCTCCTCTGCTGGAAGCATGCTTCAGGCTGACTTAAATATGCCAGGTTGGCGAGCTATGTTTGGTTGGGATGGGTCCCAAACTTTGAAGACTTTCTTCAGGTCAAGGAGGAGTATAGGTATGGTACAGCAGAAGCTAAGCTGAATGCTGAAGGAGGGATACTTCATCTGAGAGGTGTTTCAGGAAAGCATTTGGCTCTGGACATCCTGTGAAATGCCCTTTTCTACTGATTACCTCTCCATCTCTGGAAGGAATAATATTCTATTTATTTGTTACCTTGTGCAGTAGGGTCTCCTCCCTGACTTCAGTCCTCTGGTTTCCTTCCTGTTTCCCATTTATTTTTGTGCTAAGAGTGTGGGGATTACTGGCCACAGACTACCCACCCCCTGTGTGGGCCAACTCAGGTCTGGAATGTCATGGAGGATGAAACCTTTGTGATCACGCAAAAGGGATCAAAGTAGACTCATTACCCAGGATGGTCTATGATGCTAGTATAACTCATGTTTTATGTAGTGCCTATGCTGCCAGTGACTCTAAATGCAACTAGCTTATGAAATCGTTAGGGCATGGCACAGGAATTATCTGTCTGAAGTCATAGTAGCAATTGTTACTAAACGAGTTCTTGAGCCTGATATTAGGCCAAAACAGACTGGACATAAAAGATCAACTCCCTTCCTACCTTGTATCGCAGACTTACGTCATTATTTTTGGCACTCCTTTGACTCCTGCTTGAACCTTTGGGATATTTTCCTATCCCTGGAACACAGCATACCCTCTACTTTGCCTTATCTCACAACTATTTGCAGTTAAAGGATGTAGTATGCTTGTTTGTGTTTAAGCCATTCCCACTTAGACTGTTGGTTTATTTATTGCAAGTTCTTTTCCATTTGTGCCTGTAAAGTATCTGTATTCTCCGGGCAACCTCCAGTGTCACTACAGTACAAATCCTCTTGAAACATGCCATCAGTCTGTGAAATGGAAATATAAGGAGACTCTGCATCTTCTCTATAGCCCTGTGCTTGCCTTTTCATGAACTGTAGTTCATTTAATGACACCATGGAGGGAAAATAGGTAAGTTCAAGAGCTCAGTGGACAAAGTGCTACAGATTGTCTGTGACTATCTATAATGTTGTCATGTCCAAGGATAGCTTGGAGCTACTGATTCCTGCCTCCTCTCCAATCTAATACCCAAGACCACTGAAAAGCACATCATCTGCTCATACACTAGACCAGGCAACAGGATGTTGACATGCTGTTTGATAGTGCACACTTGGGACAGTGGTAATGTAAACTGGGTAGACATGGAGGCAGTGAGTCATAATATTGGCTCTTGATGAGTTCCAGAAATCTGAGAGCAGGCTTTAGTACATGGACTTCTCATAACAAAATAACTAAAAGATAAATAAAATAACATTAATCTTGCTGAATTTTAAAACAAAGAAAACAAAAGACTTGCTCACACAAAACATTGGAAGTCATAATTTCTAGGGGGATATGGTGTAGTTAGACCTTCAGTTTGACTGAAAACCACCATTCTTGTTTACATAGTTGGAACTGTATTATCTGTAGCATAAGTTGTTTTTTTCTAGGTCACTGCATAACTCCAAAATGGCTAGATTATTGAAAGGTAAGGGTCCTGATTCCTATGGAGCTTGGCATGTTTTGTTATC